CTGCACTCTCTGCGTCCTACCTCCGAGATAAGATTGAACCAAATCAAGTGCTTTTCCTCTTATACCGTAATGGTCCAGTTTCAACAACAGTGTCTCATGATCCACGCAATCAAACGCCTTGGACAAATCGCAGAACACCCTATGACATCCTGCGACTCCTCCCAAGCACCATAAATATGTTGCAGGAGCTTAACAGCAGCGTCGGTTGTCGAGCGCCCTTTCGTAAAACCGAATTGTTGATCATGTAGTAATTTATTGAGATTGAAATGTAGGAGCATTTGATTAAGTATAATTTTCTCAAAACCTTTGCTCAAAACTGGTAGTACAGATACTGGCCTAAAGTTACTGGGATCGGTTTTATCGCCAGCTTTAAAAGAGGTATAATTTTACTGTGCTTCATGAGATCAGGAAATACGCCATGATCAATGCAAGCATTAAATATACAGGCTAAGTATGGTGCTAATGTATCTATTAAGGAACTACATAGTCTTACTGACATGCCCCATAAATCCTCTGTAGTTTTTATTTTTATTTCTTTAAAAGTTTTTAATATTACATTTGCATTAATGTACCTAAACTCAAATACATTATTACAAGTCTGAACATTCGTTTTAAGAAGATTTGACGCGATGATAGGCGAAGAGTTAAGTGACTCAGTAGTTTTAAATGGGATGTTACTGAAAAAACTTTCAAACTCATTAGCTACATCAGCGTCTGCAGTAACAATTCCCTGAGCAGTCTTTAACGAATGTGATTTTTCAATAGGTTTAGTTCGACCTGTCTCTGAATTAACAACTTTCCAAACAGTTTTAATAACATTTTCAGCAGAGTATATTTTATTTTTGGTGAAAATTGCTTTAGCTTGTATACAAACATTTTTGAATATTTTTGAATAATTTTTAACACGTTCAACGAATGTTTCACTATGATTATAAGACTTTTCATCATAGAGCTCAAATAACTTTTTCCTACTTGTTCGAATACCTACAGTCGCCCAGTCACTGAATTTAAATTTAGGATTAATTGTTAATTTCTTTACCTTGAATTTGGCTTCAAATTCATCACGTATTGTTATAAAAAGCTTTGAATAAAAGTTATTTGGATTATTAGTATCATAGTCTAGAACCGGTAGTTTTTCTGATAGTGCAGTATGGAATTTGTCTACTTGGTTGGAGCTTATAATTCTTTTACTAATGACAATCTTTTCATCTTTAGGACGACATGGAAAGAGCACGGATTGCCCATTGTGGTCTGATTTACAACAATTTACGATTTCCTGGTCTGAATAGACACAATCACAGTAGATATTGTCTAAACAAGAAGCTGTGGTTGCAGTTATTCGAGTAGGTTCTTTAAATATGTTGTCTAGATTAAACGACTTAAACAAACTGATAAAACGACTTCTAAAAGCAACATTTTCTAATAAGTTTATATTGAAATCTCCACAGACAATATGAAATTTATTCTTTGATTTTAATAATATCTTTAAAACATCTTCCATGATGAGTTCAAACCTCTCATAGTTACTATTTTTAGGTGGTCTGTATACGCACACTATAATATGTTTCTCCAACTCAACGCATGAAAGTTCACACACACATTCAACCGAAAGCCCAACAATATCTTTCCGCTCTTTAGCTTTAATATTTTTATTAACAAGAATAAATGTCCCCCCGCGAATAGTGGACTCTCGATTGAAGGCACTGACTATTTCATAATTTTCGTAATTAATGAGCATTTCACTACCTTTTCATGCAAGATGCTTAGCTCGCAGACAAAACTATATAGGTGTCATAATGAAGAATAAGCATAAGACCCATACCTTTTCAATACTTTTTCGACTTTCTACTACATTATTGTTCCGTACAAAAAAGACAGGTATGGGACGAGTACAACAGATTCTTCAAAAAAACAACATTGATCGAAATACGAACAAATACATTTCTCGCCTATTGGGTCTGAGAGATCCATGAGAGATCTGAGGCCAAGAAAATTATTTCTGACCTCTCAATCTCAATCTTTCTGAAGTATTTTAATTCTCAATTTAAGTTTAGTATAAATACTGTAAATATTTTTGATGTATGTAAATAGTTTAACAAATAAAATTTGGCAAACAACATACCAGCTGTTTCTCCATCGAAGATGAAGATGGGAAAGAAGGGCAGGTTGCGGTCTTCCACAGCGGCATGTAGAGCAGGATTATCATGAAGACGCAGCCCGTGACGGAACCACAGCACGCTGCCGCCTAACATCTTGTGCAACTAGCCTCTTCTATTCAGCCTGTGGGCAAAAAATGTAGGGGTAAGTATCGTTGTAGAAGGCAGAGATGATTTCATGGACGTAGTTATGACGTGGTTCCGGCAGAGTAGAATAGCACCACTCCCTCTCTTCCCGCGGGGACCGAGGGATAAACCCGACCCAAACAGCCAGGGCCAAACGTATGATGGCGGTTAATCCACCACAAAAGCATCCCCAAGGAGAGTTGACGCCTGGTAGGCGGCTGGTCGTAAAATTAAGGCAAATCCTTTTGCAATACGGTTTTGTGTTCAACAAAACGTGTTGCGCCAACCCCAGGACGATGATGAGTTATGACGTGGTTCGGTCCACTTTTAACTTGGAGTTTTAGTCATAAATCAGTTGCAAAACTATCCCGGTAGATGAAGCAGGCTATGATTTAGGCCTTTTTATTTTTTAATGGCACTGTGAAATATTATTCGAACATCTTGCATGCGAGTTGATTTGCACTAATTAATAATACATTTCATTACCGTAAAACCATATAACTATGGTCCTAGCTTGCAACTATGGTCCAAACAAACTTGTATGTTTTTTTATTTAACTCCTCCTGTGTGGGGCGTACTATATAGGACCCCTAATGTATGGTTAACACTGACTTAACAACTGTCACCACACACGAGATAAACGTACGTAACATGTACCTACTTTAAATGCAGGTTTGTTTGGACCATAATTGCAAGCTAGGACCATAGTTGTATGGTTTTACCAGTACCTAAATTATTACAATGTTCGAAAGATTTGCAGAGACTCGTAAGGAAATGTAGCTCTACCTGATATAGTCCGCACCAAATGGGCGTGTGAAATCATTCAATTCACTTACAGGCAACCATAAATACAACACTATCAATCCAGAAATTTCCTAGAAAACGGTACCTATAAAGCTATAAAGTAAAATAACCTTTACGACACAAATAATACGCACATGCTGACGTAAGTTGGAACTACAACTACATATCTACCTACAATCATGGATATACCTAGTAGCTAGCCATTACGACAATACATAACATCTAACTATAGATAGATACCTAACTAGTAACTATAGTCTAGGCTAGGTAGAGCGTACCTACTCTACGATAGAAGTATTGCAAGGCGATAAGGTAAATCAAAGAGAAATATTATTGATTGAACATTGTGAAAAACAGTCGATGTATCCAGTTGCTGTTTTGCAATTAAATAATGCAAGTTATTGCAAGCCCACTGAATTATTGATTGAATTGTGTTTACTTCCATCATAAGAAAAATCAGAACTAACGCAGAATTATGTTACAGTCTAGATGTAGGCACTCAGTTCTAAACAGAATTAAAAATCAACCAAGTGCGAGTCGGAATCGCACACGAAGAGTGCCGTACCGTTGGCGTTATAAATTGTGTTCGAAAACTTTGTGTTTAGAACGCGGTTGCTTTAGACAGTTTCATTGCTGATCTGCCCATTACCAAACTTCCCGAAAATCAATATCAGAACATTTTTTTGGTGATTTTGATAATTTTGTTTTGCTTATATTATAATTATCAATAAATTGGAATTGAAAAAAAAAACGGGTAGTTTTATTTTGGGCGTTAATGGTTGGCTTAAAAATCATTGTTGGATAAACCCTTGTTTGCCACATTGCCTTAAATTTGGAAGTTTTGCAGAAAAAATGTGTAGCTCTATAGCAAATAATTCTAAATAAGTAACTAATATCTATAACTTTTCCTATAATGACAGCCTGCAAAAATCGGACGAAAAAACTGTAATTGACAATCAGCCAGCATAAGTAGATAGATGCTTCGCCAAAAGGATAGTGTAGGTATAGTCCATTCAAAATCATAGTGTCATGACATGACCAGCCTAAGCGGGATGCCAAGTTACGCTGAGTATTGCAACCAGCGTAACTTGGCGTCCCGCTTCGACTAGTCCTGTCATATCATGACACTATGATTGCGAATTGACTATACGTAGCTGTGCGGAGCTAGTCTCAACTTGGCCCAGATAAATAATTGAACTATCACGAATAAATTATTCCGGACTTCAGGAAAACTTTCCCTTTCGATTGTTCGCAACTGAAACCTGAAAGGTGCTTTAACAAAGTTCTTAAACAATACCATACCACATACATACATATATCACGCCTATATCCCTTGCGAGATAGGCAGAGCGTAAAAAGTAGGTACACCCCATATCTTTCCCGCTGACAACCCGTCACTATGGTGATATAAAGTCATCTAAATAACTCTCAAAATTTTGTCACCCTTGGTATAGAAGGCAGTTTTTAATAGCCCGCCTACCCCGCAAAGGATTACCTAGCCATGATACATGTATGTATGTTAAACAATACCAACTTACGAAAGCTTAGCTGCAAACTAACACTGATTCTAAAAGAGACTAAACTAAGACTACTTTCAGATACTAAAGACTTTATCTAAATAATTAGGTATTTTGCTACACGTCTGCTTCCCTCAGGATCTCGAGGGAAACTGATTTAAACTGAAATGGCTGAACAAGCACTCGAAACTCGAACAGTCTCAACTTCTGAAGCGGTTCGAGAATGTTCCGTGAAGTTTTCCATGGTATTGCCAGGGTGGCTGGTCGATGGGGATGGAAATCATTCAGCCAAAAATCTGCGAAATTGTGATGTAAACTGTTTATTAAGAACATATATTTTCACGAAAAACCTTACCTAACCATAAATTAAATGCAAAAAGATCTTTAAAAAATTACAAGCGTCGACAAGAGATCGAACCTGGGACACAAGGAGTACTGTTCCACTGCTCTGCCACTGAGCTACCGACGCACTGATCGACCTTGCCTTTCAATCTCTTGATGCTCGAAGCATCCTTAAGTAGTAGGTAGGCACAGTTAGGAAGCATTTTTCTGGTGGGAAGTGCTGGCCTTTTTACCCTCTTCTATCCATCCTCCATAATGCCTCTTACCTATCTTTGAAGGGACATTAATTCTTATTTCTGATCGATATAATTGTTCATCTGGCAACTCGTAAAGTTTTCAATAACACACAATAAGCAACCTTTGAAACTACGACCAGGCAACAGAGGTATTCGCAAACATTACCCTTTCCCTTTTGCACAACCGGGAGAAATTGGCTCAGGGGTGCGCGGGAGGTCTAAGTAAAATGGTTCTATCAAGTGCAGGCATATGACTACGTATACAGGGTGTTAGTGTAAAAACTTTATGAGAAGTGGGTTTTCTTGTCGTCGTATGGTACACCGAGTCGTCCGACGGTAAGTTAATAAACCGGCCAAGAGCGTGTCAGACACGCCCACAAATAGGGTTTCGTAGTCAACGTTTAAATATCAGGTTTTTCAGCATTACAAACTTAATTTTGTTGCTGGTTTGTTAGCAGCAGTATGATGACCAACCGCAAATAGAAAAACTCAATTTTTTCTGAAACCTTTAAGGGTATAATATCTGTTATAGTTTTCATTGTAACTTCAGATTGTAAGCTATATTCCATATTTATTTCAATTTTTTAGCGTTTATACTTTAGAAGTTACAGCTGGAACAAATTATGGGTCAAAAACGCCCTTTTTAAAAGCAAATATCTCGTGACAGAAACATTTTAGTGACTTTGTTTCAAAGAAACCTCACCTTAGTTTTAAAAGACCTATTCAACGATACCCTGCTCAATATTACAGAAGAAAAAATTTTTGTTTGCCCCGCTTTCACTTGTCCAAAAAACATTTAATATAATTTTTTCTTAACATTTCTATATTTGGGTCAACACGATCTACACTTCCCATCAGAAAAATCGAAACACCTTTTGTACATTTGATAGCTTTTGCCGCAGTTGAAAAGCACTAAGGCGTCGATTTTGCAAAGAACTCATAACATTAATTCGATCATATCGGTCAGAGCTGACCCGATTTCCGTCAGATTCTAAACATCGCGTAAACAGATCAGTCTTCTGATATCATTTGTAAGCTTTATGAACAGAGGTCAGGCTTAAATGCAAACATTCAGCCACAAAACGATGACCAAGTTCAAAATTTGGCAATGTCACCACATGGGCGGCTTCAACGGGCAAAATACCCATGATTCAGATAAAATCTTATTTTTTTCAGGCGATCCAAAGTCACAGTAAACAATTAAAAAAACAAAAGTTTTAAGATAAGCTAAGACAAGCTCTAAATTTTAATGTAGAAAATGTTATGAATCGTTATAAGGCGCAAACTGCAAACGTGTCTCAGTCATTCATCTCATTTACAGAACAAACAGGTGGAGTTCCAATTTTGAATTTTGATTTTTTTTATACACACTGAAAAGACAGAACTGCCAGCTACACAGTCATATATTTTTTTTAATGCAAACAATACATTTTGGTGTTTAATTCGGCCAAAAACAAGAAAAACCGACGTGTTTCGATTTTTCTGATGGGAAGTGTATGTAAGTAAGTAGAGTGATTCAAGAGGAGGGTTTATTTATACCTATGTATAACACATACCGGAAAATGCCTTATTCCCGCGGGAAAATCTGGTGAAACCGCTAACGAGCCACAATTTTTTTATAAAACGTTTTTTTAACGAAACCTTAGTGACTACCTAAAAGATGGTTTATAAAGAAATTATAGTCTGTTTTATGTAGATTAATAGACACCGTTAGTGTTCAAAATAAAATAAAAAATAAAAAAAAAACACCGATTTGTACAGTGCGCGCAGATTTCATCACTAAAAATAACCCTGATTATTTAGAAGATATTATGGCTATATTATTGCTTGGATTATTTTTCCCGCATTACTAAAAAGGGTTTTACACCCTGTATAATGCCAACGCTGTTGACTGTTAGGTATGATTTCAATTCAGCCTTAGACTCAGCCCAATCACGTGCAGACTTCATCTAAGGAACACGTGCTGGTATGCATTTAACACCTTCAAATAATCTCGGCTTTTTTCTCGAAATTTCCATCAAGCAGCTTATTAGGCGCAAACTCCACAGAGTAGACGTGAGACGTAAGATGACATCTGTCAAACAAGTGATCGTCGGAGACGTGAGACGTGCGACATCGCGACGCTTGAAACCGTTTCCATTAAAATGTCTGAAACAGTAGAAACAAAGCTACACACGTGAGACACGCGTCCTATTGATAAGGGCTGACGATCGCTTGTCTGACAGATGTCATATTGCGCGTCGCGTCGCACGTCTAATCAGTAGAGCTTGCTCCTTAGGTAAGGAATCCTTACGTACTTACTACTAATGCTTGTCCTTGGATGTCATGTAATCGGTTAGTTGAGGGTAAGGTTGAGGGGTTTTAATGTTTTAATAAATACGTAGGATTGGTTATGTAGCCTTGTTGATAGAGCATTAAAATACACACTTGTACCACCGTATTTCAACTGGCATACGACTGAACTGACTGTAAGGTGCCAACTTATTTCTACCTGTGGGTGTCGTAAAAGGCAACTAAGGGATGAATATAGGAAATGGGCAGCACACTTCCCTGTTAATACCACCCTGTTTGCACTTCTAAGCGTAGTGACCATGGCAAGTACCTACCCCTTTAGGCCCCTAATAAAAGGGCGGGAGGGCCCTGGGAGGGCCTATGTCTAGCAGTCGACTGATGTGGCTGTTGAATAAAGCATTATACCAAAATAGGCTACAATAGCCACATGCGAGCGCATCAGCGCCGATTTGATCAGGAGTAGAAGTGGTCGCCATGGTCGAAACCGGCCGGAAAGATCATCATCATACAATCTCTCTACTTCCCACAAGTCCGACGGTTTTAAATACTGGGCCCCAAGTCTGCTAAATAAAAATCGTCTCACTTGAGTGTCGATGGCATGTCAGTCAGTTGGATGGTTTTGGTAGTTTCGTATTCTGCTAACAGTTTATAGTATGGAAAAATCACAGTGGCAATGGAATGGCACTTGAGTGCCGCTGGCATTACAATGGCTAAAAATAGCAGACTTGGGGCCCAGATGTGGCGCAGTATGACTGCCTGCCACGCAGAAGGTTCCGGGTTTAATTCCCGGTGTGGTCACTCACAAAGTTGATATTTATTACTTTGTGAATTTGTTCCCAGTCTGGTTAGGACATTGCAGGTTGAACCACCTGGTTGTCTGAAAAGCAAGGTGATTCCGTGATTCGGATGGGCACGTTAAGCACCAGACTCTGACACCAGGCACTGACACCAGGGTTCATCGGGTCGTTGAACGACTCGGTGTACAACACGAAGAGAGATCACATCAGCCCCTAGCATTCCACTGCTGGACTTGGCCTGCTTCAGAGTACACCACTACACCTCCCGTTTTCGCCATCAATGCTACCAGCAGCCACACTCTTAAGTCATGGGTTCCATCTGGCCAGAGGGCGCCCAACACTACGCTTGTCGAGGCTTGGCCTCCACTCGAGAACCCGCTTACTCCAACGTCCATTGGTTGTACGACAGAAGAGGCCAGTCTACTGCTAATTCAGCTTGCTACATTCCAGACTATGTCTGTTACTTTGGTTTTTTGGCGTCTAGGTCAGGCCTCTAGGTCTCAATAGAGTCAATCATTGGCCACGGGAGATCGCAATCAAAGCGAGGTCTTATTTTGATTCAGATATGATGTAGCATAGCGGTTATCCAAGCAAAAGATATAAATAGAAATGGATTGGCAGGGTCGCGTAATCTAATATGAGGGGATCATGTAACATTCAGGAAACGACTTTTTTCCTGATTGGTAGGTACGATGCCGATTCGTAACAATCATAGTTAGTACTGTAGGTATGGTGTTTGTTGCATAAGTAATTTCCTAAGTATTTTATTACCCAACAAAATAATAAATGTAAAAAACCGGCCAAGAGCGTGTCAGACACGCCCACAAATAGGGTTTCGTAGTCAACGTTTAAATATCAGGTTTTTCAGCATTACAAACTTAATTTTGTTGCTGGTTTGTTAGCAGCAGTATGATGACCAACCGCAAATAGAAAAACACAATTTTTTCTGAAACCTTTATAGGTACAATATCCGTTATAGTTTTCATTATAACTTCAGATTGTAAGCTATATTCCATATTTATTTCAAATTTTTAGCGTTTATACTTTAGAAGTTACAGCTGGAACAAATTATGGGTCAAAAACGCCCTTTTTAAAAGCAAATATCTCGTGACAGAAACATTTTAGTGACTTTGTTTCAAAGAAACCTCACCTTAGTTTTAAAAGACCTATTCAACGATACCCTACTCAATATTACAGAAGAAAAAATTTTTTTTTTCCCCCCTTTCACTTGTATGGGAGGGGGTCCAAAAAACATTAAAAATATTTTTTTCTTAACATTTCTATATTTGGGTCAACACGATCTATTTTCTCACCAAATTTCATGTCGATAGCTATAAAACTGACGAAGATATGAGGGCGCGGCATACAGACAGACAGACAGACAGACAGACAGACAGACAGACAGACAGACAGACAGACAGACAGACAGACAGACAGACAGACAGACAGACAGACAGACAGACAGACAGACAGACAGACAGACAGACAGACAGACAGACAGACAGACAGACAGACAGACAGACAGACAGACATGACGAAACTATAAGGGTTTCTAGTAGACTACGAAACCCTAAAAAAGGTGACAAAGTTCTTACGCCTCAAAAAGAGCTTAAATATAAACTATAGCCAAGTTTATCATAATTTACAACTACAATATACAGGGTGTAACGGAAGGGGTATTACAAGCCAAAAGGGGCAGAACGTACTGGTGATAATAAACCTTTAGCGAGGACTGTAATCGCCAATTCAATCATTTTAAAAAGTAACATGATCAAAAAAAAGGGTAACAGTTCCCGATACGA